TTTCAAAACATTTTATCTATTTTTTTTAAATAAAAAAAATTTGGGGAATTTACCGAGAATGTGACTGGGTGTGAATTGCGATTGAAGGAAAGCAATAAGGGCTGGGAGTGAGTGAGGGATTGGGAGTAAGCCACTGGGGGAGTGAGTGAGAGAAGGAATGACGTGAGAAAAGAATAGGGAACAAAGTTTTTTTATTTTTTATTTTTATTTTTTTTAAAATAATATAAAAAAAATGGTTGTCACGTGTGAGATGAATAGATAGAAGAGGTATATAAAGATTGTGGCGGTTTTAAACCGCTGAAAATATCATTCTTTTGTGGCGGTTAAAATAACTGCCAGAAATATAGTATTTTGTGGCGGTTTTTTGAAACCGCCGGGAAAAAACCCCTACTAATTACATAATTTTTTGTAGTGTGTTCCTATGCATGTGCTTTTATAAGAGAGTATTTATTAGATTTTATTTTCAAATATCATTCAGTATTATCTGCTTGTCGTATGGAATTACTCATTAGTGTTCTTTTGAAAGTAGTGGAGGTCATCGATCCAATGAGTCGAATTCAATCCAAACAAAAACAAATTGGATTGGTTCAGACTATCAGATTGATTTACATTTAATTAAAAATTCAAAATCTAATCAATTTGATTTGGATCATGGATTTTGATTTCTTAGAAAATCGAATCAAATCGATCAATTCAATTAATTTATATATTATTATTATTATTATTTTGGGTTATAAAATAACGGGTACTATTAAAAGACAAAAAAAGGACAAATGATCCATTTAACCTTTCTTGTGTGTGTGAAACTGACTTTTTCCTTTAATAACAAAGGACAAAAATGAAATATAATTTTTTGTTTGTTTCATTGTGAGTGTCTCATTTGTGAAAGTTAACTATCAATTACATATTAGGGTTTTTATAATGTTTGTTGTAACACTTAAGATATTTTGTTGAGCTTGTAGATTGTGATGTTAGGTTGATCTTAAGTTTTAATTTAAGAATATTTATTACTTATTAACTTTGAATTTTTAATGTTTGAAATAGTAAGTTATACTATTAACAAAAAAGTATAAAATATTGAATGTTTTATTAGTTGATGACTGTCGCCACCGGCCCGAAACGGGCTTTCGGCATTCGCGAAGACGGTCGAGCTCGCTTTTATTTTAGTTTTGAAAATGTATTGGATTATTAGAACGACTTGTTCTCAAACTGAGACCTTGTCGATCTTACCCAATTTATTTATTAAAAGTCTCACCAATCCATATTAATCCCAAGCGGGACCCTCCATGGATTAGTGGTTTTCGCCCTTCATATCTCTGTTATGTACAAATGCCACGTGCAAAGAAGACGAAGTGCATCTGGGGAAATTAAAAGGCTATTTTACGTCGGACTACACCTGGGGCCGATGTAAAATTGAAAATTTATGTGGGGTGTTGATAGACCATGGGCCAAAGGCCCAATCACTAGAGCTATGGCTAGGAGCATTCAAGGAGAGTTGGACCTCTTGAAGACTAGTGGGCTTCTCAAGCCCAAGGTACTCTTCACTTGCACTACTCTATCATGAAGAGAAGGCCTAGTTCTACTTGTGTATATTTTGTACATAGTTCTCTTGTATAGGTTATTTTTGCCTTTGTATTTATGAGGCACTTTACTTATTTTAATTAGTTATTGTATATTGATTTTAGGGTGGGTTACATGGAGAGTTTAACTCCATTTAACCTCCTTTGTAGATACACTCATTTTCTATTTTTTCAGTAGGGAAAAAGGGGTGGCATTTAGCAATGCTTGAGGGTGTGACTAGTAATTAGGCCAGAATTAGGCCTAGGCAAAATTTTATATATTAGACTCATTTTTCTCCTAATTTTTCATAGATTTGATTTAGCTAGGTCTCATCTACATTGGATGAACCTAACTAAACCATATCAACATTTTTCAAATTCGTTTTGGAGCAAATTGTAGTCACTGGCCCGCCTAGCTCCTTGGTTCCATTTTTCGCCGAATTAGCTTCTCCTTCTCAAGCTTAGAATCTTGAAGCACATTCTTAGCTTGCTTACCAAGCAAGCTAAGTGAGTAGCTTGCTCTCCAAGTTTCTAAACCTTGGACGGTCAAGCTAACCTCACCATGGTTCCTACTGAACCATGGTTAAGGTTAGCTTGCTCTCTAAGCTACCTCTCCCTATATATTTCTAATTCCTTCATTGTAGCTCACTTTTGACATTTATTAGATTTAGAATTCATAATTCTCTCTCATTTTCAAGAGTCCAAATCCGTGAGAACTTTTCTCTTAGTTCTCTCTCAAGGTTCTTCACTTTGAAGCTTGGTTCCTCAAGCTTCTTCACGTTCTCCAAGAGGTGACCGAACCACCTTGGTGTTTCTTCTCCATTGAAGGTTTCTTCAAGGAGCTTCACGTCACATTTTCAAGGTTTCCTCAAGAGTAGAACGGTCTTGGAATGGAGCACTTGAAGATTCATCAATCTTCTCCAAGTAATTCCATCATTTTTGGTATCTAGAGCCTAGTGCTCTTGAGGTTATGTGTCTTGTTCTCTAAACTTGAATCCGTGTTGTTGTTCTCTTCTTTTATATGTCTATTGTGTTTGTTGAATGGATCTAGGTCTTATACAATTTTTGATGGATCCTATATGTCTCATATGAATTAATTGATTCATGTTTGCTTGTTCCTAATTCTTCTTGAATCAATTTTTTTGTGCGCCTAGGTTCTCCTTAAAATTGTGCATTTTTTATGTTTTTTTGAGTCTTCTCCATTCTTAACATGTGTCCGTGAGTGGACAACATTCATTTAGCATTGATTTTGTTTTTGAATCACTTGTTTTGTCTAGAAGTCATGTGTAGTCCTTTTACATGTTGAAAATTCCTAGACTAGCTTGTTTGACCTAATTTTTGTGTTGTTTGTGAATCATTGTGAAGGCAACTCCAAGTGGAAAGGATTGATGTTCTCCACTCCTTGAGTTGCTCGGCCTTATGATCACTTCCTTGAGGTGATGAAGAGATGGATTGTTCACGGAAGGAAAGAAGAAGATGAAGATGGAAGGAGAAGGAAGCACTTGAGCTAAAGGAGCAAAAGATTGCTCACAAAGTTTGACCTAATTTCCTAGAAGAAAGTTAAGAAACTTTCGGTCAAGGTGACTTTCAGGGAGAGACTTGGCTGAATAATTTTTCAGAAATCTCATTCATGATTCAAAGTGATTACATAAGTTTTCGTCAAAAATTTTGACAGCAATTTCTGACGGATTTTTCTGTCAAAAATTTTGACAGCAATTTCTGACGGATTTTTCCGACAGAAATTTCTGACAGAATTTTTTGAAGGAATTTTCTGTCGAAAAATTCCATCGGAAAAATTATTTCCGACGAATTTTTTTTTCCGATGTCACTTTTTCCGACAGATTGAAATCCGTCAGAAATCCGTCAGAAAAAGCAAAATCCGTCGGAAAAAGCAAAATCCGTCGAAAATTTACCTATTTCCTTCGGAAATCAACATTTTTCTTGTAGTGGTGGACTATGATGATCTCACTATGTGGGGGAGCAGATCAGGTGTGAGGCTTTGGGATGGCAAGGAGTATTTTGGTAACTGCTTTGAGAAGTGGCTAGATTTAGAGCTTGACCAGCACCTAGGGTGTCCCTTTTGATGTTTTCATGATGTTGTACATTCATTATCTTTTTGGATGACTGTATAAGCCTACTGATGATGACCCTTTTATAAAATTATGTTTTATATGATGAAAACAATTTACACGTCATTTTATATTTACACTTTAGTGTAGCTGGCCGTTGCTCTATTTTTTTTATTATATATTTTTTTTATTTTAGTTGTCATATTGGTTGTTGATGTGACAGCCTAAGGCGGGTCGTTACAATCATCGAAATGACGATGTTGGTGATGAGGCTTAGGCTTCATTTGAGCATGCTCTGATAGGATATGTGACATCGAGACATAGTTAGGCTTAGTTTAGGATTTCATTATTGTTATTTTGTTTTGGAAAAACTCATGTTTCATTTTTTTGTAAATTCTGCATTTGACCATGATTTACGTTTATGAATGTGAATTCTCTACTTTGATGTTAGTGGAACCACTATTTTAATTCAAATGATTTTATGTACTCTAAATATGTTTATATAAATATTGTATATGTATGCTGGAGTAGAGGGTGTCACAAAATAAAGAAATTCTTCATATATTTTTTAAACGTGTCTAGAAGACACTATCAAAGAAGAATGTTCAACTTCTATTATTTTATTATTTTTTCTTTCACAAGAAGTGAGAAATATCTATGTTTCATTGACGTGATACATTCTACATATTACATACATTTATTTTGCCTAATATAGAATGATGAATATATTTATTCTGCCTAATAATAATAATAATAATAATAATAATGAATATTATGACATATATTTTCTACCAATGTTATCAATTTAAATATTCTGCAATAATTTTTTTTATGTCATATCAATATATATATATATACATATATATATTATTTTTTGCTCATGTTATCAATTTAAATATTCAACAATAATTTTTTTTATGTCATATCAATATATATATATATTTATCATATATTCTATTTATTTTGTGTGTGATAATATATATTAAATCAGATAAAATTTGATTTCTATAATGAAAGCACTATTAATAATTAATTTATAATTTGAATTTGATGGCTATTTAGGATTCATTTATTTCTTTATCCTAATTTTCTCTCTCTTTTATGATATTATTGAACATGTCAAATATTGCGAAACTTGAATTTGTTACTCTTGACATTATGGGAAAGAATTATTTATCTTGGATATTAGATGCTGAAATACATTTAGATGTAATAGGTCTTGGAGACTCTATTAAATAAGGAAACAAAACATCTAACCAAGATAAGGCTAAAGCTATGATTTTTCTTTGTCATCATCTTAACGAAGGGTTAAAAGCTTAATATCTTATCATAAAAGACCCACTTGTTCTTTGGAACAATTTAAAGGAAAGATATGACCAAGAAATATGTTGAATTAGTTTCTTGCCTCCTTGTGGCTGAGCAAAATAATGAGCTTTTATTAAAAAATCATGAGGCTCAACCAACTGGCTCTGCTCCATTCCCAGAAGTGAATGTTGCAACATATGATAAACAAACTAGTGGTTGTGGCTATGGTCATGGCCGTGGAAATAATCGTGGTCGTGATCGTGGTAGTAAAGGTAGTTGTGGTCATAGTTATATGGTAAAAAACAGTTTTTCACACCAGAAGTGGAAAAATAATGAGAAAAATAAGAAGGAAATGGATGGACATGGTAACAAACCCGAGGAAAACAAATGTTATTGTTGTGGTGGCAAGGGTCACTGGTCATGTACTTGTCGTACACCAAAGCATCTTGTTGAACTTTACCAAGAATCACTTAATATGAAGAAAAAGATAGAGATACATTTTGCTTATGAAGACGGTGATTCAGATTATGATCGTATGGATGTTACTCACTTCGATGTTACTGATTTCTTTACTGATCCAAATGGAAAAATTGATCACCTTATTGGGGATGGGAGTGTTCATAAATAATTTTTTTTTCATATTTTATTTATTTGATTTTGGGTATTTCTTATGTTTTGATGTTATTGGATTATGAATTTTTTTAATATAAAAAATATTGTTAGATTGTTATCATTTAAAATATTATCATATTGCTTATTTACATTTTTTTTTTAATTTTATGGAGAATGGATATTGACAATAGCATCAATAATGAAGATATGTGTCTTGTTGATAGTGCAATGACTAACACGATTCTCAAGAATAATAAATTCTTCTCAAATTTAGTGATGCCAGAAATCAATGTTAGTACCATATCTGGTATTACAAATATAATTGAAGGCTCCGGAAGAGCTAATATATTATTACTGGGAGGAACGAAGTTGCATATTAAAAATGCATTATATTCTTCTAAGTCTTATAGAAACTTATTAAGTTTCAAGGATATTCGTTTAAATGGGTTTCATATTGAAACAAACAATGAAGAGAATGTAGAATATCTTTATATCACGAAAGTTCACTTGAATAAAAATGAAGTATTGGAAAAATTATTTACTTCCTCTTATGGACTGTATTGCACGTATGTTAATACAGTTAAAACACATACTATTGTAAACTAGAAGTTTACAAATCAAAAATAAATTTGAGGTTAGGCATGATCGATTGGGTCACCCTGGGACTATCATGATGCAAAAAATAATTGAAAATTCATGCAGACATTTATTGAAGAGCCGGGAGATTCTTCAATCAAATATTTTCTCATGTACTACTTGTTCCCAAGGGAAGTTAATAATTAGACCATCACCAGCAAAAATTGGGAATTAAACTATCTTATTTTTATAACGGATACAAGGTGATATTTGTGGACCAATACACCCCCCATGTGAACCATTTAGATATTTTATGGTTTTAATTGATTCATTAACAAGATGGTCACATGTTTGTTTATTATTAACTTGCAACCAGGTGTTTGCAAGATTATTAGCTCAACTAATTAGATTAAGAGCTCATTTTCCTGACTATCCAATTAAGAAAATTCATTTGGATATTGTTGGTGAATTCACATCTCATGCTTTTAATGAGTATTGTATGTCCATTAGAATTGATATTGAACATCCAGTAGCACATGTTCATATACAAAATGGACTTGCATAATCATTTATCAAACGTTTAAAACTAATTACAAGACCATTACTCATGAGATCAAAACTTCCAATGTCAACTTGGGGGCATGCAATCTTATATGCTGCAACCCAATATCCAATCTTTACAGTTGGTTTTTGGTGAGCAACCCAATATTTCTCATTTGAGAATCTTTGGGTGTGCTTTATATGTTCCAATTGCCCCCCCTCAAAGAACCAAAATGGGTCCTCAAAAAAGGTTGGGAATATATGTTGGGTATGAATCTCCATCTATAATAAAATATCTTGAACCATTAACAGGAGATTTATTTACGGCTCGATTTTCTGATTGCCATTTTAATGTATTGATTTTCCCAACATTAGGGGGAAAACAAAAACAGTTAGAAAAAGATATTAGTTAGAATGAATTATCACTATCTCATTTTGATCCTTGTACAAAACAATGTGAACGAGAAGTTCAAAAGATAATTCATTTGCAAAATCTAGCCAACCAATTACCAAATGTATTCACAGATCCAAAAAGTGTGACTAAGTCATATGTACTAGCGACTAATGCTCCAATAAGAGTTGAAGTCCCTATTGGACAATCTAATACTGCAAACAAGTCACAAATACACCTGAAGTGTGGTAGACCAATTGGTTCCAAGGATAAAAATCATCGAATAAAAAAGGGGGTTAAAGAGCAAAATGACCAAATTGAGGATGTAAAAACTCAAAAAGATTCCTCTGACATAACTAATATTCCAGTTCCAAAAGAAACTCAAGTACCTGAAATTATTGAAAATGAAGAGATCTCAATAAATTATGTCATGAATGGAATACGATGGAATCGAAACAATGTCAATATTGATCTCGTGACTAATGGTTTAGACATCCTTTTAAAATTCTCATTATTTAAGGAATGCCTGGACACCAGACTAATCCTTAATTAATGGTTTTGAAAATAGGTTCATGGAGTCTCCACCAATATTTTACTCAAAACATTGGAAAAAGAAAAGGTTTTTAAAGATCCAATAATAGCCTTGATAACCATAATTGGGTTCGGGGGTCGGTTACGTGTATTAAGTACCCCTACAACGCCCTCAATCGGTACCCTATGATGAAGTGAACATGATAAGAATTAATAAATTAAATATTGAATCCCATTTATTAATATTTATTTACATATTAAAGATTTAAATTATACGACTAACCCTAAAATATTTACATGATTGTGTTTGCTATAAATTAAAAATAGAGATAAAGATAAGAAATAAAAGATATAAAAAAAGATTGATTGAAATACCTCTTGAACGAGCTCTATTGAATCTTCAAATATGGAGAAGGTGCTTTATGGAAACCTTTCACACTACAATATGCCTCACAAATCTCAAGAAATACAATAGGAGAGAAAGAGAGAGAAATTTCGTGCTCTAAGGAGTCTTGGATGAAATTTTTTGGAGTCTTAAGAACTGTGCCCAAGCTGTCTATTTATAGACTTCAGAAAAGGTCCAGAACGGCCCGTTCCAAAATTGGAACGGCCCGTTCTGGATCTGGCCGTTACGTGTAAATTACTTATACTGGAACGGCTCGTTCTAAAAACGGAACAGCCCGTTCCAGAAGTGAGATTCACACGTAATTTGGTAGACTGGAACGGCCGTTCCAAAGAAGAGATTTTAGGCCATTTTGTTAACTCGGAACGGCTCGTTCCAGTTTAGGAACGGCCCGTTCCGGTTAAGGTTTTTAACCCTTTTTTAGGAGATTGGAATGACCCGTTCTAATTTTGGAGCCGCCCGTTCTGGCTTAGGAACGGACCGTTCTAACCTATTATTTTTTAGGCTCTTTTTTGTGGCTTGGAACGACCCGTTCCGATTTTGGAACAGCCCGTTCCGGGCCACTAAGACCAATGTATTTGGGCTTTAAGCCTTCTGATGTCTTGTCCTGTTGTTTGCATGCTTGGTAGCTCCAATGCTTTTTATAACAGAGGTCCATTTCCTTGTTTGTATGCCCTCGGACGAAATTGGGTGTCTACAATTGCCCCTCTTTACTTGTCATTTGGAATAGTAATGTTTTGCTTTTCCAAAGGCAAGTAAAGACGTAGACATTTCGTTCGGGTCTTCTCTTCATCTCTTTGGTGTTGGCACTTCTATGTTGTTTCCCTTGGACAGGTGTATTTGCTCGTATTCTCACCCTTTAGAGAAGTTGAGCATTGATTGTGTACTCTATTGGGTAACAAGGTTGACAAACTGTACACCTGATCTTCAGTCTTCGAGTAGAAGCTCCATTGTTTCTCTTGTGATAGTGAGGTGAAAATTCGAATCTTCACGCTTGCTTTGACAAAAAATACCTTCACGTTGTTTCCTTTGAGTAGACGGTGTTCCCTATATCCTTGCCCCTTGGAGCAACTGAGTGTTGGATTGTATGCTCTATTGGGTGTCAAGGATGGTGAACCGAAACATCTAGGCTTCAAGATCCATGTGAATTCCCTATGTCACTTGCTATGTCTGAATTTTCTCCTTTAGTTTAGCAGTGTAGATGCCCCCACACCATTTCCTTCGGGTAGATGATGTTTACCTGTATCCTTATCTCTAAGAGCAATTGAGTGTTGGTTTATATGCTCTGTCGGGTGATAAGAATGGTAAACTTGTACCATATAGGCTTCTAGCTTTGATGTCAATGCATCCTACTGCTTCTACTTGCTTCATGGTAGTGTGTTCCTTTATTCGTAACTTGCTGAAGAGAGAGTATATTCTGAGCTCAGCCTCTCCAGGCTGGACTGATATTTAGGGCTTCAGACAGCCCATGGTGGGAGCTCGATGGCGATCCCGGTTGTGACTTCGAGGAACTCAACGGTGCCCTCGCTGTAATTCTTGATCTGAGAGGCTCGACGACGGCTCTTCAATCAAGATGGACTGATTTTAAGGCTTAAGCCAGCCTATGGTGGGAGCTCGACGGCGGTCCCAATTTTGACTTTGAGGAACTCGGCGGTACCCTCACTGTCGTTCTTGATCTAAGAGGCTCGACGACGGCTCTTCAATCAAGATGGACTGATTTTAAGGCTTCAGCCGACCTACGGTGGGAGCTCGGCGGCATCCCGACTTCAACTTCGAGGAACTCGGCAGTACCCTCGTTGTCATTCATTGATTTTAACGGCTCGATGGCGGCTCTTAATCAAGCTTGATTGATTTTAAGGCTTCAATCGACCTACAGTGGGAGCTCGGCGACATCCCAGTTTCGACTTCGAGAAACTCAGCGGTACCCTCGTTGTCATTCATTGATTTGAGCGGCTCGATGGCGGCTCTTGATCAAGTTTGGCTGATTTTAAGGCTTCAACCGACCTACGGTGGGAGCTCGGTGACAATCCCGGTTTGATTTCGAGGAACTCGACGGTACCCTCGTTGTCATTCATTGGTTTGAGCGGGTCAATGGCAGCTCTCAACTTGGATGGTTGTTGATACCCTTTGAAAGAGGACCTTTAAAATCTTGGGTGGATACTTGATGGTGATTCCTTTTCGATTTGAGGTACTCGATAGTACCCTCGTTGTTGACTTGTGATGGGAAATGCCCCAAGGAGGATGGGCAAGATGTACTTGATGTGCCCCTGTGTTGATGGGCGATAGATGGGTGATAGGAATTCTGGTTTTTCCCCTGCCATGTGAGTATTGTGATGCCTCTCCAGGCGTCTACTTGTGGTACGTTTTTTTTTTTGAATTTTATATTTGTTTAGCTTCGGCTTTTTCATGTTTGAAGCTTGCCTTTTTCTGCTATTTTTATTTATGCTTCGGCTTTTTCAACATGTATGAAGCTTGCCTTTTTCTGTTTTATCTTTTGTTATCATCATTGGTGGAGGGATCCCATTCCCATGATGATGTCATTTGCTTAATATTTATTGACGAGTATTATTTTGTA